TCCACACCTGAAGACAGGAGGGTGATCCAGGATGACCTTGACAGGCTCAGGAAATGGGTGGATGAGAACCTGATGGTGTTTAACACTGAAAAATGGAAGGTTCTCCACCATGGGAAGAAAAACCCTTGGCATGCTTATAGGCTTGGCAGTGCTACGCTGGCTAGCACTACAGACAAAAGGGACTTGGGGGTCATGATTGACCACAAGATTAAGATGAGCCATCAATGTGATGCTGCAGCTAGTAAAGCAAGCAAACCCTGGCTTGCATCCATAGATGCTTCTCAAGCAAATCCCAGGACATCATTCTCCCTTTGTACTCGGCCTTGAGTAGGCTGCAGCTGGAGTATTGTATCCAGTTTTGGGCTCCACAATTTAAAAAGGATGTGGAGAAGCTTGAGAGAGTCCAGAGGAGTGCCACACAAATGATCAGAGGTCAGGAAAACAGACCTTATGATGAGAGGCTGAGAGCGATGGGACTCTTCAGCCTGGAAAAGCGCAGGCTGAGGGGTGATCTGGTGGCTTCCTATAAGTTTATAAGGGGCGCTCACCAGGATCGGGGGAAGGTTTTTTCACCAGAGTGCCCCAAGGGATGACAAGATCAAATGGTCACAAATTCCTCCATGACCATTTCAGGCTGGACATAAGGAAGAACTTCTCTACTGTTCGAGCCTCCAAGGTCTGGAATAGACTGCCACCAGAGGTGGTTCAAGCACCTACTTTGAATGCCTTCAAGACACATTGTGATGTTTATCTTGCTGGGATCCTATGACCCCGGGGAAGGGGACTGGACTCGAAGATCTTCCAAGGTCCCTTCCAGCCCTAATGTCTATGAAATCTATGTATCAAACCTGACCTCTAACACCTACTGTGCAAGTCATTTTCCACCACTGAAAGCAGGCAGACTTTTAACAATGATGGCCCAGTAACCATAGGAGCATATTTCCAAACATGTGGTGCATTCCTTAATGTCTTCAGATCAAGATAAGATGCCTTTAAATATGAGTTATCAGGTGCAGGCACTGGAGGATGCTTTTAGAAGTCTATTGTATAGGAGGTCTAACTACACAATCTAATGGTCCATTGTCGCCTTTAACTCTATGAATATTAGATTCTATGGCAGTTTTATGATGTAGAAAAAAAAACTGGGATGAGATAAAAACCTGTTCTTAGGCCTGACTCAGCAACTCCTTAAGTATATACTTAATTTTGATGAATGTGTCCTTAAGAAAGTGTTTTGTTGAATCAAACTGGGGACTTGGATGCGCTCTCTTAAATCCATTTCTCTAGATTTGGAAGTTTAGTACATTAATAATCCAATCTACCTCTGATCTGCCCATTGGACTTAGATAGTTATATTAACACAGAATATCTTTATTTACAGTACAACATATTGGCTGCAAAACATCTGAGTCATCTATGAGAATCCCCAATTTGCTGCTCTGCAAGCACAGTGCAGACCTGTGGAACATTGGAATAAGTGTTTTCATACAAGATGGTCCCTTCTTTGTTGTACGTTTGATCCTGATGAGCTATTATGGCATAATCAATCAAATGCTGGTGTTTTTCACGGCTAAGAATATCTTAATCTTGATATTACAACTGTACCGTTTAACAGTGTTATTGTTAGACTTCCATACTTCCCTCCAGGATCAGTCAAAGAGCTGGAAAGAAGGAATCAACTGTTGCCTAGGTGAGCCTGAAGACACCAGTCCCCCACACAGTGACGATGCTACTGATATGGGAGAGCACGCTGCTATTGCTCTGGATGATTCTTCTATACCAATAGATTGTCAGTGAATTCATCCATAATTCACTACAATACTTCTTTTTAAAAAAAATGTGCCAGTCATTATTTGCAGTGATTTTGTGATGTGGCCATATGGATACTAGGAGGCAACTTAGTTTGTGTTTTCACTTCAGATCCATAGGTAAAACACTACAGCATGGCTGCTAACCAGGTGCTGTCTCTAGAACCCCACACTGTGGTAAATTTAGAATCAGTTGTTGAAGCTGAGGCACAGTTTTCCTTTTTTCTGAGCTATTCACATTTTTTTAAAATTTTCTCCACTTCATTCAATATATTAATTACCATGTATAATAGTGTTAAATGCATTTGTTAATTAATCTGCAATGTAATAATCTTACTATAATATTCTCACAGATTCATTAGCACAACAAAAAGGCTGCATGAATTGTTTTTACCTCACAATTTACTTAAGGGCTGATCTTAGTGACAAACTGCAACAAAAGCTGCTGGCTTAGTAACTAGTCTCCGTATCCATCATCAGAAGGACTTGATAGCAGTATTAATCTCTGATCTTCAGTCTCCCTTCTTTCACACATTGGGAAAACTTGCATTATCTTCACTGAGGGAAGGACCAGCCACAGAAATTGGCCTCTGACTGGATCCCAGCCCTGTTGAATTTACTTGGCTTACAGATTCACCTCTCATACTAGCTTTGGTATAGGCTAAATGTATGTCTTCCTCATGGTAAGACAAGCAGATAGATTAACAGGATGCTTAAAGATGAGAAGTCTATCCCCTGTGAAACCTCAAGTGTGGGCACAATGCACCCTAGAGGACAGCAGACTGGTCACCTGGAGTCACAAACAGTTCAGTAAGGAGCTATGGAGAAGCAGACTAAAAATTCTACTAGTTTGTGTCCATTTAGTCATGGCAGATTTTATTTGCAGGAACATTATACCTACCCTCTCAAATGTTTTTACTATACAAATGAGTTATGTTTCCAACAGCTTTTATGAATCAATTTATGTCTATCTGTATCAGCCAGCCGGGTGCAGAGAATTGCATTGTAGTACAAGACTTTCCAATTTTTGCAGCATGGAAGAGAGAGAAAGTATTTTCTTCAGAATACACCAGTCTCTATCACATATCTCAAGAACAGTTGGAGCCATATTTACTGTCTTTCAGATTTGGAAAAGAAGCTTCAGAGAATGGGAAATGGTTAGGAAATCCACCCTAGTAACTGTTCTCCCCTGAGTCAGCAGAATTACATTACAATGCTTCCTCTTCTATTTACAGTTATTTATTTTAGTTGCTTTATATATGGTATTTGGTATTAATCTTCATTGCAATTCTTACTTTCTGCTCCTTCTGCAACTGAAATGTATTCCTTTTGGTTTTGACATTTGCTCAGGAGTTTGTAGCCCCTGAGAAGAATTGTGACTGTTGAACATTCTGAAGTCTGATTTTATCTTGTTTATATTTGTATTTGTAGTGTACTGTACTTTCTGGAACCATATGGAAATGGAAGAAAATATGCGATTACTTAAAAGATTCCAAGTGTTTTTTTGCAAATAAAAGGCAGTTACCTCAGGCTTAGCTGCCAGCTTATTATATGAGACCTAACTGTTATATGTTCCCAGTAATTACATCACCACATGCTGAAGTAATTAAAGTTCCCATTAATTACATCACCACAACACCACATCACCCTTTCCACCAATGGTCTGTTAATTACTTAGCCCAGATTCTGATCTCACTCAGTCCAGAGTAAATCCAGCCCAAAGTAAATCCAAATCAACAGCAGTGAATTCTGTTCCACTCCACATAGGTTCTTTTAACACACTCCATAGTTTCTGACTATCACTGAAGTTGCCAACTTGATCATTTTCTCTTATTTTTAATGGTTTACACTTAGGTCATTCCAAATTGGCTGAAATGAAACCTTTTTATTTTGAAGACCCTGAGAGATTTAGAGAAAACAATCCTGATATTTAAAGAACTTTTAGAAAATCTTAAAAAACTTCTAACATTAAGTTAGGAACACAGCATGGTTGTGGCAAAATTGGAAAATAACAGATCTTAAAAACAATATGCCCCCTTAACAAAGTACCACTAAATCAGTTAGTTTAAATAGTGATAACAGTAGACTTTGACAGAGGGTCAGGATAGATTTCAAATCAGAGACCCTGAATGCAAAACAACAATCCTTTCCACGTCATATTCTTCTCATTACCTAAGATACTTGGCCTAGCATATTAAATCTGCCAAGATGAACTGTTACCTTACCAAAAGGATAAATTAATTTTAACCAACAAATAGCAGTAGGATATAGGCTCACCACAGTTCAATGCAAATGTGACAGGTGCTTAGCTCCACCCCCTTTCCCCTTGTATGGTGCGTGACATCAGCCACGCCCCGACTCCAGTCACATGGTGTTTGATGTGACCAGTCCCACCCCCTGACCCCAGTCACATGGTGCATGGCTTCAGCAACTCCACACCCCCAGTCACATGGTGTGTGACATCAGCAACTCCACCCCCACGCCCAGTCATGTGGTGTGTGACACCACCACCACATGGTCCATGACATCAGAAGGACAGCCCAAAGCCCAACCCCTCATGCTGCAAAAACTGCCCTAGATCACATGGTACAGTTATGACTATCAGTTCCCAGACTGCTTTAGCCACCATCAGAGCACAGGCATGGCCTATGGGGTGGCAGGGTGGTGGTGTGACCCTTCTAACAACCCAACCCACCACCCTCAACCAATTGGCTGGGGTCTCAGAGACCTTAGATTCCCAAGAACGATGCTGAACTAATTGGAATGAGTAGAGGGGGTGGCATTTAGGCTGCAAGCCTCACCAGGTCTATCTGCTTTCCTAAATAACCCCTCTGTTTATCTGAGCTAAGGCAAGCAGGGACGGATATGGATTCTTTCACAATGCCTGTAGGCCTACTCACTACAACCCCAAGATGGCTTCATAGAAAGCGTTACTGTAGAAATGGTTTTGAGGAGGAGGCCAGGCTCCTAGCCCAAAGACTCTTTGAGATGCCTGACCCTGTCCAGGAAGACCTAATGAACAGGCAAATGGAGGAGGCCCAGGCCCCCGAAGCAGACCTTGAGAATTTGGAAGATGGTGCCAGAGCCTGCATGCGAAGTGGAGGTCATCGCAGAGGAGAGTCCGGTAAGAGACTTGGAGCATGGTTGTGGGGGCACTTGGATTTTAAGGGTAGTGGAGTGGGTTCACTTCATGGCACATTTGTGTTTGGAAGTAGCTAAGGACTGATTAAACAGCAGCTAACTAAGTCCTTTATTTGAACTCCTTTACAGGTAGATGAAGCCTTTTTAATGACTCCAGAAAACCTACTCACCAATACACCAGGAAGCATATGCTTCTGAGAGAACAAAGACGGGATGAGGCTGAAGAGTTTGAAAGGCATTGAATCAACAGATGCTGTTACAAGTTGTGAATGTAAAGTCTTCATGAAGTCTCTTGTTCATATTTCCTTTTATGGCTTAATGAAATACTGCTTGAGGAAGAGACTTTTTGACCTATGCTGGGGCTGCACATTTGACCTAGGGGGTCAAGAAGTCCACAAATGTGTTACTTGGTTAGATGAAGACATAAATCAAATAATCCAGGAACTTTGCCAGGAAATATGTCTTGATAGCATTTTCAATGCTGTTCTAGCCATTGGGTTTGCCAAGAACATTCTCAGAATTACTGAGAAACATTTAATTCAGGTTAGAGAGCTTCTAAATGCTGTGTCTTCTCCAGAAGATTCTAATGCTGCCCTTCATGATTTGATCACTGAGGAAGATAAAACACTCATATCCCATATTGAATGCTTAATTGGTAGTAGAGGTTATAAAACCTTGCTTAAGAGAAGGGCTTAGCAAAAACAGTTTAAAATGGGGGAGACGTTATATCTTTTGCTGATCTTAGTGGGAGTCTGGGGGATGTAAGGTTGTGTCCAGGGGCCTGAGGTAACAAGGAACACTTACCTGAAGCCCAGGACAGGAGAGACACAGAGCTGGAGGGAGAACCCGCGCGGCTCGTTAGCCGCATCTTCGTACAGCTGCGGCCAGCAGCTGACGGCAGTGTCGGATGCCGGCCAGGGGATTTAAAAATGGCGGACGCTGCTCCAGAGCCGGCAGAGGGCCCAGGGATCGAACGACGGTTAGGGCCAGCAACGGCGTGAGATCTCCGGGACGAGCAATGCCAAGCTGGCATGCCGGAGGGAGCAGCGATCCCTACAAGGAGCCCGATGACAGGGACACCAGCGGATCGACCCAGGAACGGTGGATCGGGTGAGCTACTAAAGATCGGGACGACCCAGGAAGATTCTGAGGACCCTGAAGTAAGTTCCAGGAGGGTGGAGAGCGAGCCATGCCGAAGAGGGGCGAAGGATCGCAGACCACCTGGCTGGAGGGAGATCGGGGCGGGATCACCGCCAAGATCAGTGGACGTCTGTTAAAGGAACAGGAGCGGGGCAGGCAGAGAGCAGCTAAGGGGAATCCCTTCCCCAACCCGTTCAGGTTAAGAGGGATCTGGTGGAGGGTCGGCGAGACAGTTAGATCATCAGTGTCTCCAAGTGGGGAGTGTCTCACCGGGTAAAGGGCTTGTGGCGCGGGGTCTATAGTTGGTGTGATTAAGGCACTGGTGCAGGTTACAGTGAAGGGGCCAACATTGAGGTGGGAGTATCCCACGGATTGTGGGATCAAGTACAAAGGACGTGTTTGAAGCCTGCAGAAGCAGCACAGAGCAGGCACGGGGAAGTGGAGCCCATAGGTGGCGTGAGGCCAGGGTGTAGGGGTGGCGGAGCCCCGTGTGCAACCAGCGGGCCAAGTCTGGGCCACCGAGGGACCCGTGAACTAGCCCCACCCACTGTGGAAACAACAAGTCGTGGCAGGCGAGAGTGGGGTTGGCGACATGGGAGAACGAACACCCATGGTCACAAACAGGTCCGGACGGGGAGTAGCCACCGACCAGGAGGGCAGAGCTCCCTGGAACGACACAAGAAGGCCCATCGGGGACAGGTTGTAAAGCACATCAATAGTTTTCTAC